TTTTTTTTTTTTTTTTTTTTTTAAATTTCCCATCCACTGGACTTCAACAGCAAGGCTGGAGTATTCTTTACAAACTGATGGTTTATAAAGCTTAAATACAGGGCCAAACTTGCAAGCTGACATTGCCCCTTTTAGATGTCTCACGTCTCTAACGTAGTTCTTTTCAAAGACTATCTGTTAAGTGTGCAATGATACCTCTGACTCACCGTCACTCTTGTACTGCAACGTCTGGTGTTAAGGCAGAGATTTGACCTTTCTTGATTTCTTTTCTTCCCCGTCAAGTTTTGAGTGCCCACAGGATCCATTTTACTCCGTGGGCAGAATCAAACGTAACCCTTAAAAAATACTATATGGCACACAAACCATTCTGCTGTGCCCTTCCTGTGATCAAGCAGCAAACAAGAAAGAAACATTCATATGGTTCCCAGATATAACACTTAGCATTAAAAATAGCGCTGATTTTTCCAAATCCAGAATCTCGCCTGAAAAGCTGGAAGCCCTAATTGCACTGGATTAGCAGAGTGTGTGTCAGGGCTCGTGTTCAGATCCAAAGCCCTGGAATAATATTGAAATGTAGGCGTATGAGAGCACTTAGATGGCCAGGATGTGTGGTTTAATGAAGCACACCTGCAGATGGATGCTGGGAGCCAGTAAAACCTTCCTCTTCCCTATCTCTCCTAAGCAACCAGCCAAGGGAATGACAAAAGCTGGTTGATTAAGAGAGATGGTCAAAGACAGAATTTCCCCAGAATTTCTCAGCAAAGCCATCATTTCCCCATCTAACTCATTAGGGCTTCAGGATGGTATTTAATTCGTCTTCTCTTCTCCACCTACTTCCTCCCTCATCCTCCTCCTCCCCACTCCCTGGTCAGTGAGGCTGGAGGGCATCAGGCTTAGCATCCCGTGTACAGCTAGGACTGTCCTACAGGTTGGGGCACAAAGTGACACCCCAAAGCTGGCCCTGTGCTCTCCACTACTCAGAGGTGTCTGGGAGGCTGCCCCTTGCTGAGCTTTGATTAGTTGTAGGGCAGATTGGAAAATTCCCGACAGAGCGATTTTTCTATCGGAAAAGCCGTCCCGTTGCACCTGCAACTCCCTATGGGAAGTCATTGATTTCAGTGGAATTTCATCGATGTTCGCAGGGCGGGACACTTCGTTTTGAAACCTCTTCCAGGTTCAAAACCACGTCCACCATTCGTTAAATGTGTCCAGAATCAAAGTGAAACGTTTCCTGGGAGCAAAACCATCTTTTTTTGCCCCCCCACAAATGTTGCTTCCTCAGGAGTTATGGAATTCATTGTTTTCCCTCTAATTCAGGACAAAACTAGCTACAGTTCCTGCATCTCTCTCATTCTTTGGCCTCTGCCACAAGTTACATGTATTGCACAATTCATTGGTTAACCGTGCAGTAAATGTTAGACTGGCCAGATGCGCAAACTAAGACTGGCCACACCTGCAAAGTCATTATCATGCAATTAATGGGTTAACTGCACAATAAATTTAAACCAGCCCACATGTGCAAGTAATTACCACACCATAAAAACGTCCATGCAGGTGTAAAAAGAGCCAACAGTTAGTGCTCGACAATGTGTAACAAGCTTATAGCTGGTTTGTATCCAGCTTGAATTTGAACGGGTGGCCGGGGCCATTGTGTTTCACAGACTGGGTCTTGATTTGTGCCATGCGCTGTACAAACCCAGAACACACGGTTGGGTTGCAAAACTGAGATATCATCGTTCCTTGTTATTTTACATTTCTTATTTATTGCAAATCTGGCCAAATTCCTCCCCTTTGTCAATCCGGCTCATGGCGTTACAGCCAGAAGCCAGTTACAGGAGAGTGGCACATGTGGAGGAAAACATGCCTGTCAAATGCAGGCTGCTGTTGCTTTCTTGTGTTGAGCATGGCTTCCTGAGTTAGATGCAGATGGGGAAGCTGGAGGCTGTGGGGAGCTTCTGGGTAAAGGGAATGCCTGTGAGAGCCAGGGGGATGGGCAGGGAGGAAGAAGAGGCAGCATCTGGTTCCTCCCACATCTGTGCAGAGTGGCTGTAACTCGTGGTCTGATCTGGATGGGTTGCCTTTTATATTCGCTTTGTGCTGGGATAAGTGGCTAAATAAGGGTCCAGACTAGCAGACTGGGCCCGTGTTGTCTATGTTGTTGATTCATTGGTTCTTTCAAAGCATTTTAACCCGTTTTGAGAAGAAAATCCAGGCAGAATTGCACAGAGGCTCCATGGCTGATGCCTTTCAGTCCAGCGGCAGCTGGTGGGAGGTGGTTGATCGTAGCAAATAGGGCGCTCCATCTCAGCATTGCCACTTCCCCACTCTGTGCCTCAGTTTTCCTGTCTGTAAAGTTAGAGGGAGGCAACTGGCCTCCTTGGAAAAGGGCTTTGTGACATCCGGTATTGGAGGTAGGCATTGCTCGCTGCTGCAGGCCCGTGGCATTAGCTTTAGGGTGTCTGTTTGGGGAGCCATTGCGGGAACGCTATTGCCACTGTCCTGCCCAAGGGCTGTTGGATCTGGACTCTGATCGAGGCAGTGTGGGGCTCTGGAGATTCGCTTCTCTTTTACAAAGTACCGCACACTCTTAAAATCAAAGTCCACGTCTGCCCCTGCGGCGGCGTTGATGCCAGGGGCAGATGTAGGATTCAGGGGCTACTGAAGTGTGGCTTTCATGGCATGCAACCTCCAACACTCACTCAAGGGAGGGAACCCTTCACTCCCTGTTTGAACTGCCACAGGAGCACGGGAGGGTATTTGACTGTCCCAATTCAGAGTAAGACGGAGGCTGGGAGTCAGGCCCCCGCCTGGTTCATACCTGTGGGTATCAAATGCAGGAGCTGGCCAGTGAGTGTTTCACACCTGCCTCTGATGTTGTAAATGAGGTGTATCAGGCTCAGGTGCTTTGAAGTGAGGATTTAACAGGTCCAGCTGGGAACTTGCAGACAAACTCCAGGCTCTGAGCCAGCGCCTGAGACATGGATGCAGCTCCCACTTCCCAAATGCTTCCACGGCTTTGTGCATTTGTGCTAAAGACCCTTCTCCCAAATTGCCTTGGGCCCTGGTAGCCAGTTATCCAGGGCTAATCACCTGCAAATTATCATCCTGGCTGAAAGCAAGCAGCTAAGGACAAATGAAGGGGGACTTCTTCTACCCCGGGAAAAGGGGGAGAATAAGCCTAGAAACCAGTCGCTTTTATTTCTTTCTTAAACCTGCAGCTGGCTCCTTTCATCTCAGTGCCCCCACACGGAAGCTGTCAGCTTTGATGCTACCCTGGCTGGGGTGTTTTACTGATCAGTAGTGACTCTGCCAGTGAGTGACACCTACAATAGATTTGGTGGCTCAGCAGGTGAAAATTAGCAAGGCCAGGGCACTGAGCACAGGCAAATCAAGTTGCACAGCCCTGGGAAAGCCAGACCTGAGCCTGGGGTGGACTGGAGAAGCTGGTGACCCTGAGAAGGCCTGCACTTGATCCAGCCTCCAGCTCAGGGAGAGCAGATGGCCGGGGCTGTGATGAGCACAGCAATGTAGCAACTGTGGCTGCAGTTCAGTTGACTCTCAAGGGAGGAAAGGCTGTCTGAGCTGGGCGGGATGGAGCTTCTTGCCCGAAACAGAGCGTGTAGGCTGAAAAACAAAAATCAGTCCTGTGTAACGAGATCCCCACAGTGCTTGCTGCAGCCTGACTCGGTGTGTGTGTGTGCGTGTGCGCATGAACGTATGTGTGCGTGGGCATGCGTGTATGTGCATATGCGTGTGTGCGTGTTGGTGCCATGGGACTGCTACCGCGGGATTCAAAGCAGAGCCATGCAGAGAAGAGAAGCTCCATGTCACAAAGGTTTTCCCAAGCGGCACTGGGCTGGAGAGGGGGCAGCTTCCACCCTCAGGGACTGGCAGCCTCCAAGTTTCCCTCAGGCTGTTTTGAGAAGGGGCTTTGGCCCCTGCAGTCTATAGGGAGCCCATTGCAGCTTGTACCCCTGCTCAGCAGAGCCCCTGTGCACTTGGATGTCCTGCTGAACAGATGGGGGGACCCAAGCCTGCGCATAAGTGTTTTTATGAATTAAAGAATGAGGCCAGAGCTGCATCCATCCACACAGTAGTCTCCGCTCCTC